GGTAATTAAATTAAACTTCCTAACTTCTGTATCCTTATCTTTCAGGCAGATGGGTTATCATTACTTCTAGTAAATGTTTAAGACTCTGTGTGTCCATATGTGTGTAAAACTAACCTCAACTACAACTGGGATTGTAAACACGTGGGTCTTACAAACGCCAGAAGTACTGCCAATTTAATGGCCGTGCACAGCTCCTTTGTTCCTGGCTGAGGTTTTAAAACATATGTATCTGAGCAATCTTTAACACCAACACTGACTGCATTATTCTTTCTTCTCAACCTGAAATATAATTAAAAAAATTCCTAACTGACTTTGAGGCTTGGACTAATACTAGGTTGAGGTAATTACTGAGAAATCTTTGTTTGCCTGAAAAACGTTTTTTTTTTTTAAATTGGCACCTGAGCTAACATCTGTTGCCAATCTTGTTTTTTTCCTTCTCCCCAAAGCCCCCCAGTACGTAGTTGTATATTACAGTTGTAGGTCCTTCTAGGTGTGACATTTGGGACGCCACCTCGGCAGGGCCTGATGAGCGGTGCCATGTCTGCACCCAGGATCCGAACCGGGGAAACCCCCGGCCTCCGCCAAAGCAGAGCGCAAACTTAACCACTTGGCCACGGGGCCAGCCCCTGAAAAATTTTAAAAGAAATTAAAATTCATGGAAACAGAGAAAGCATGGGCTCACCACACAATCTCCTGTAGAATTTTTTGTTTTCTATAAAAATAAACACATTTGTTCAAGACACTGAAATTGATAAACAATGAGTCGTAAACGGTGTCCTCTGCTTGACGCAGTTAATTACATTCCAACAACGAAGGCTGTGGCCCACAGCGCTGCTCAGGCAGGTTCACTGTAACTATGCGTGTGCCTGATGACACGGGCCCCTCGGCATGCAGGGAGATGCACACACGGCAGGGCCTGGGTGTCACAGAGAGGAGGGGACAGCGAGGCCAACATGGTGAGGTTCCCCACACGAGGGGGTGCAAAGCCCCTTTGCCTTCTGCAGATTCTGCTTGGAAAGCAGGATTTCCCCCACCCTGATGGGCACCTCACTTTTAAAAAAGCCAGTTAACTCGTGTGCTAATCTTGTGTGGCTACGGAGACCCATGGTGACAGCAGAACAAGGCTCTTGTGGAGGAGTCGCGCTTGCCCGCCCTTCTCTGTGGACGCACAGGCACCAGGGCTTCTCAGGCACCCCGGCTCTGACCTTGACCACCTGGCCTGGTGGTGCCTCCACAGGCCGCTCTTTCTTCTCCAGGAACGGATCCTGAAGGATTTTCAGAACGGCAGCATGTCGTTCCCGTGCGCCAACAACATGGCTGATCAAGGGCGCACCCCACACCGGGGTAAATTGTGGCACATTAGAGAGGGCTGCTTGGTGGCACCTGTCAATGCATCACCACACCTGAGTCATGTACGTCCACTGGGGAAGGGGCAGTCGACACCATGTTACAAAAATGCTGGTGAGAAATCTTTGTTGAAGGGTATGCCAGGCAACTGGTAGCCCCTCCTGCAATCAACATCACCCAGGAGAATCTGTAAAGCAAGGCAAAACCGAAAGTCAGCAGTGCCGGGTCCACCTAAACATTTACAGATGTCCTTGTAGTGAGGGTGGCTGTCCCTTGGTGGCATTCCCTTGCTGCAAAGCCACTGCCTTATTTAGCGACAGTAAATAAGCGAGTCCAGCGAGATTCCAAACGGCTTCCCTTCTGTCTTCTCCAGGGTACAGACTCAGAAGCACAAGCTGTCTGGGGCATCAGTCAAGCTTTTCCATTCACTTAAGAACATCACTGACCATATCCTCCTCAAACTGGGGAAAAGCAGAACGAATAAACAGAATCATGGAAACCAGACTGGCTCACACGACTACTCATGTAACATTCTGGTCACATCCTGAATCTGATAACGAAGAAGTGTCCGGCAAACCAAAACAGGGTCATTTTACAAAACTGGCCTGTATACTTCAAAAATACAATGTCATGAAAGACTAAGGAAGCCCGAGGAGACATAAGGAATTCCTACCGCTCAGTAACAGAACGATAAATAGTCCAATTTAAAAAAGGGCAAAATGTCTGAGCAGACACTTCACAGAAAAGATAGACAACTGGCCAAAAATATAGGAAAAGATGCTCCGTATCATTAAGAAACACAGATTAAAACGAGATGGCACACACCCACCGGAAAGTCCAAAATTACAAGACTGACAACACCAAATATCGCTGAGAACGTGGAGCAACGTGAAGGTTTCTACACTGCTGGTCACAGCGTAAAATACACAACCTCACTGGAAAATGGTTCACCAGTTTCTAATAAAGTTAAACATACACTTACCATAAGTTCCAGAAATTTCACTCATAGTTGTTTGCCTGTGAGAAATGGAAAGGTTTTTTTTTCTTTTTAAAGATTTTATTTTTTTCCTTTTTCTCCCCAAAGGCCCCCAGTACATAGCTGTATATTCTTTGTTGTGGGTCCTTCTAGTTGTGGCATGTGGGACGCTGCCTCAGCGTGGTTTGATGAGCAGTGCCATGTCCGCGCCCAGGATTCGAACCAACGAAACACTGGGCCGCTTGCAGCGGAGCACGCGAACTTAGCCACTCGGCCACGGGGCCAGCCCCTGGAAAGGTTTTTGTACATAAATGTCCACAGCAGCTTCATTCATAACAGCCAGAAACTGAAAACAACTCACATGTCCCATTCATCAACAGGGGGCTAGGCAAACAGGTGATGATGTTGTCACCACACTGAAGATCATCAGAAACAAGGAAGAATGAACTCGGACACACGCAACATGCATATTCCCAAAGATCCCTGAGTGAGACTGCACACAGCAGTTCCAGAAGCAAGCTGAAGTTTAAGACCCAACCCACGGCGCCTGACAGAACAGCGGTCGCCTGGGGTGGGGTGGGAACTGAGTGCAGAGGGGGATGAGGGAGCATCCGGGTGACAGTAGTGTGCTCTCCTGCACTGCACTGATTCTGAGCTGGAGGTACACATTCTAAGAAAGCCATCGAACATCCACTCAATGGGTCTTACTGTGTGTAAATGAGATCTCAATAAAGTTGATAATCAGGGTGACTGCTACGCTTCTGGGGAAGGAGTGACTAGGAGGGGGCCTCAGGAGGGCTTTGGGGGTGTTGGTACTCTTCTGCCTGTGAATTTGGGTGTCAGTTAAAAGAGCATGTTCTGCGGCTGACCCCATGGATGAGGGGTTAAGTTTGCGGGCTCCGCTTCGGTGGCCCGGGGTTTCCCCAGTTTGGATCCTGAGCGTGGACATGGCACCGCTTGTCAGGCCATGCTGAGGCGGCGTTCCACATGCCACAACTAGAAGGAGCTACAACTAGAATATACAACTATGGGCTTTGGGGAGAAGAAGAAAAAAAAATTAAAAAAAAAAAAAGAGAGGAGGAGCCGTCGCGTGGCCAAGTGGTTAAGTTCGCACGCTCTGCTTCAGCGGCCCAAGGTTTCACCGGTTTGAATCCTGGCGCGGACATGGCACCACTCATCAGGCCATGCTGAGGCGTCATCCCACATGCCACAACTAGAAGGACCCACAACTAAAAACACACAACTATGTACCAGGGGACTTTGGGAGAAAAAGGAAAAATAAAATCTTAAAAAAAACAAAAAAAGAGCGTGTTCCTTTGTGAAAGATTCAACAGGCTCCACGCCTACGTGCTCCTTTTCTCTATTTACATTACTCTTTACAATAATGGTAACTATGCAGTTAGAGAAAAATCGAGGGTGAGGCTGTGAACAGACTTACATTCACTTTCTTTACGGCTTCTCACACCTAATATGGACAAGTTTTCAAATGCTGCATGTACGGCTTGCCTAATTAGGTGGTTGTTATCTGCCGGATAATAAAGGTGAGTCACCCCTTCTGACAGTCGCTCGGTCCGCTGAGCCAGCACGCCATGGGCTGTGGCCTCTGGCAGCCAGCTCTGCCTGTCCTCCAGTTCACGCGCTGATGCAACACTGTCCACTATCTGTCTCCTCCGTTCTTACAACCAAAATGTCTTTCACTTACAGGACATGAGAGACGTACCTGCAATTCTCTGTGCTGGAGGAAAGTCACATCGGGTTGCAAAAGGTATTAAGGGTATTTCAGGTAGATGTCACTTTGAGGCAGTGGCTCTCAACTTGGGGCGATTTGGTTCCCCTTCCACCAGGGACACTGGGCAACATTTGGGACAGTTTTGGTTGTGACAGCTGGGAGCGAGCAGTGTCACTGGCTTCCAGTGGGTAGAGGCCAGGATGCGGCTAAACACCCTCCAGCGCACAGAACAGCGCAACAGCAAAGCCCCTGGTAACGTATACAGAGCACTTCCCCGTCTACACCAGCCTCATCTTGTTCAATCCTCACAATCACCACTGTCAAGATGAGGAAGCTGAGCCTTCAGAGAGCACAGGACGCCAGAGTGAGAGAGACTCAGAAGGATGACAGCCCTTGACCTTTCTTTCAGATTACACGAATGTCATGGAGTCACAGGGGGACCTGATTCTGCACATGAGAACATGTGTTCGTCTGCAGGACACGCTCTCAAAGCCCTCCACTGGGGAGCTCTGCGCCTGGGCCTTCTCCTTCCAGGAGCTTCCCCAGGGCTGCAGATCCCCGCTCCACTCGCTCCACAGCCCAGAGAGTCCTGCAAGGAGGTGGGCCCGGGAGCCCTAATGCTGACAACTCCCTTAGCAAGTGGACTTCAGAAGAACAGCTGCCTTGAGGCTGGACTGACTATGGCAACACCGAGACTGCAAAGCGGGTTCTTCCACAGAGGGACATTACCCCCATCCTGATTTCTGCATTTTCTAAGTGAAGATGGAAGAAAAGGTTAACGTATACCAGGCTGTCCTTCTGTGTGATTTCTTTGGCTTGTCTAGAAGACAAGGAAAAGAAACTAATAATTTTTGGGAGCTTTCCCTCATGTTATTTTATCCGACAAGTCATCTGAAAAATTTTAAATGGTTTGAAGAAACAGAACCGAAAGAATGGAGCACCAAGAACTTTACTGGTAACACCTTTTTAATAGGTCAAAGTAACTGTACAGTTCATTATATTCTTCCTGAGAATAATTTATATCCCCCAACAAACTAAAGGGAGGGTATATTTTTCAAAATTATTTAACAGAATGGATGGTATAAGTGGGCATCAAAAGAAAACCAAATCTGTTTTGCTTAATTCTCTCCTGGGAAGACAGACATCATGAAGGGTGAGTTAACTCCAGTGGCTCTAAAATAGTCAACATGGCTTTAATCTTTCTTTATAAATTATATAAAAATGGAAAACAGGGATGGTTCCAGAACTTCTTCTCAATGCAGTTTAAGAGGTGCTCTGGTACAAAGCATTTCCGCTTCCAAGAGAAATAACATTGCTACAAAAAACTGGCACATTATTCTGGTGAAAAAAGACAAAAGTTTTAGTGTGTTCTACGGCTAGTTTCCAACCAAATGCTTCACAGATCCACATGAAAGTCAAAGGATGGAAGGTGAAAGGGTCGTCATTTTTTCGAAATGACTCAAGTTTTCAAAATATAGCTTTTATATTCTTTCTTTGTAAAATGGGATTAGCATATTGCAACTGAAGAGTGTTCTAACAACAACGAAAATTCCAGTCTGGATATAAATCTGTGGTAGGCAAAAGAATTCTCAGCCCCTTGGGTTTCCTGGAATTCTCTGTGCCATCCTCGCTGCTTCTGAGATGCAGCTAAGCTGGTTCGGGGATTAAGAGGCCACCGCCTGGGCCCATCCTACGAACACATATCCCAATGTGAACAGAATCTGTTCTGTATGATTCTTAAAAGCTTCTCATGTACAATTTTCATTCCCATAAAAATGCCACGTTTTGGATCCCGGACTTTTCTGAACATGAGGATTAAAAAAACAAAACAAAAACTGAACCCAAATCAAAATGTGGTTAAACTTAGATGAGAGAGATTTTCAACCAGCTGTCAGTCAGAAAGTTGGCGCTGTAAGTGCTGGCGACCGAGGACAGGTTAGCTCCTCGCTGCTGGTGGAACGCTGGAGAACGTCCTCAAAGAGGGCGGGCGGCGGGGCTCCTGGGCGGCTCAGTGCGGCCTCGTCTGCCCGAGCATTCTCAGTCTCGCCTGGTCGATGACATCGAGCAAGTTCTTGGCATCCACGGCCAGGGCGTGCGCGGCAGTCAGCATTTGCTTTTTGTACTCCTGCTGGAGGCTGGTCATGACGTACTGCTGTGCCAGCTTCATCTTGTTGATGAGCTCGCCCAGGTCGGAGTTCAAGAGCTTCTGGGCCATCTCAATCTGGAGGAATGAGAGAGAGGTCAGCAGAGCAGCTTCCCAACAGCTTCTCAGCGCATTTGTACGCGCCTTTCTTAGGTGCCTCCAGAAGAAGAAACTTTCTTTCTTCCCCTGAGACAAATCTTACTTAGGGACAATAGGATGTGAAATCACTGCTTCCCCTAGAAGTTCAGCCAAGGGAGCGTGCGTGTGTGCGCATGTGCACACGCATGTCCAGCAGCTTCTGCTCCTTCCATGGGAAACCCTCTCCGACACTATGACTAACCCGCCCCATTCTGCATCTGCTGTTTACACAGATCATCGCTGTGACTGGCGGGGCTCTTCCTTGTCTCGTAAGAGTCAGAGTCTGGCAGACCCTCTCATGTTGGAGTGCACAACTGAGATATAAAGTGATTTCCCTCCAGCTCCAGACAAAGCCCCAGGCCTTGACTTGCAGGCCAGGGCTCCTGCCACTACATCATAGTTCAAGACCTTCCTGTGCAATGCGAAAGATGGGTTAAGGATGTCACGAGACACTCTTGCCCCACCTTCATGTAAACTCTATGCTCTCCCAAACTGATGAGAGGTTGAAGTAGGGGCAGAAGTGGTGGAAGGAGCTCCAGAACATGAACGCTGCCCTATAGGATTAGAAAGCTCGCTCGGGGGCGTCTTGGGACCCTTCTTATCTGTTTATTCAACCGAGAATGATTTATCCACTTGCTCTCTCAATAATTATTGAGCACGTACTATGTCCAAGGCACTTAGTGTTGTGGAGACAAGAATGAACGACACACGCTTGTACTCACAGTCTAGTGTGGGAGAAGCATGCACGGAACCACCTACACTACACTGAATAAATCATCCAATAGAGAGGGACACAGAGGAAGAGAGCAATTCATTCACCAGAGAGGGTCAGAGACTTCACAGAGGAGGGTTCGTGTGCCTTTGGCCTAGACAGTCAAGTAGGCGGGGCCTCCTAAGCCACACCAAGTGACCCCTGTCCTGCCGACTTGGCCATGGCGGGGGGCGCCTAAGAAATCTTCAGGAAGGGGAATAACATACTCTAGAGAGGTGTTGTAGAAAGACGACTATGGTGGCAGTGTGGCAGTTGAATGGAAGGGTGGAGAGAGCCCAGAGGTGGTGAAAGCTGCTCAGAGACTGTTCTGGTCACTCAGGGGAGGGGTGATGGTGGCAGTGAGGATGGAGAGGTGAGGCCCAGGCTGAGACTGCATGGATGATGACAGGTGAGCGGCTGTTTGTGTTGATGCGAGAGTGAGTGTGTGTGTAGGGTGCGTGGCGGGCAGGGATGGTGAGTGCACGGTGGTCCCAGTGACTGTGGAAACAAACCAGGAAAAGGAGAATGTGCTACCAAAGGCAGACATCCAACAGAGAGCTGGTGACCGGAGCTGAGGGACAGGTCACACTAGAAGCACAGAACTGGGAAGCATCAGATATTCGGATCTATGGAAGAGGGGAGAACCGCTAAGGAGACAGAGCCTTCTGTAAAGCACAAGTAGGTAGCACCCCAGAGGACGGCCACACTCAGGGCAGCAGAGAAAAGGCAGAGACGTGAGCGAGGAAGGCTCTGAAACCAAGGGGGGGACCCACTGAGGGGCCAGGCCTGGGGGAGCACGGCCATCACAGTGCAGCTGAGGGACAGCTGGAGTCCAGGGAGCGGCCTGGGGAGCACGGAGGGGAGACGGTCAGTGGCAGGGGAAGCAGGACCAAAGGCAGGCTCCTCTTCTGTTAGAATAATAATAAAACAATGTATATGGGGGAGCAATGTGTGTGTGAGAGCCAGGGCACACGGAGCGATTATTTCAGGCTTAATTCTAAAGCAGGAATTTAGAAATGGTCTTCTCAAAATGTCCATTTGTTAGGATACCATTTTCTTGCCTCTGGCATATAGAGCTTCTTCACTTTTTGGCAAAATTCTTGCTCGCTGTGGAAACCAATTAAAGTCCCAGTGAAGCAGATAATCTATCTAATCCCTAACTGGCCCGTAAGATAAAGCTGCACTGTGGCAGCCAGGCACAGGCACCTTCCAGAACAATTTCAGTGGTGGTGTGCAGGTGAATCAAGGCCACTGACAAAGGAGCCACCTACAGGGGCTGTGCCCAGCTAACTGCTTCATCAACACGAATGTCACCTGGACATGACGCACCTTGAATATAAAACCCCGAGAAGGACTTGGCATTCCTGCAGATGCAAAGCCACAATCTAATCAGGAGGAAACATCCATCTTTACAGAACACCCCTCACCTCCACTTCAGGAATACTCTATACAACAAGTGGCCTGTATTCTTCAAAAGTGTCAATGTCACGAAAGACAGAGAAAGGCTGAGGAATGTTCTAGATGAATGAGGCTAACAGACACGACGTGTGATGTCATGTGCAACATGCAACTCTGCACTGGTCTTGAACCACAGGAAAAGCATCACTGGGACAAGCGCTGAAACTGGAGCGTGACCTGCAGATTAGAAGGGCGTGCTCATCAGCGCCGACGTTCCAGAATGCGATGACCACACAGGGTGAGAGAACAGTCTTGTTATTAGAAAACACAGTGGAAACATCAAAGGGTAAGAGGGCATGATACATACAACCTGCTCTCAAGTGGTTCAGAAAAAGTAAACTCTGTGTAGACAGACAGAGAGAGAGAGGAAACTTCGTAAAAAGCCAAAAGGCGGTGACTCTGGGTTAAGGATATTCAGGAATTTGCCATACTAGTCTTGTAAGCCCAATCTTGTAAGTTATGAGTTTGAAATCTTTTCAAAACAAAAAGTTTCGTAAGAAAGCAAAAACAAACAAACAAAAACAGTGCCTGCTGGGCTGAAGTACAGACCTCGTCCCCTGAGAGAGAAAGGAGAAAAGGGGACGGTGGGTACTGGAGGGGACAAGGTGTGAGAAGTGGTGAGCGGGGCCAGGGTGAGGATCTGGACTCCAGTGGGGACGCGGCCACATGTGCACGTCGACCCTGAGCAGAGGCACCTCTTCAGAATGGAGCTGCTGAAGTACTGTTAAAAATGCAGGCGCTTCCTTTCATTGATTGCTCATATAAATGAAGCAGAATGGCTCGAAGGCGGCCAAAAGGGCGACTGTTGCTGAGAGACAGTATTCTGGGTGAACTTTGATTCCTTAAAAAATTTCAAAACCATATTACTTTAAAGGGAATTTTAAATCACTACTTTAACTGGAAAACCAGTATCGCTTGCAAACTCTAATTTTTTTTTCAGAAGAATTCAAGGAAGGAGGGCAGGATGCCTCTCTCAGTCCACTTCTGCATCCTCGGTCCCCTCCTTCAGGAAGCGCTGGAGGATGACAGCACCAGCACCAGCTCTGCGCCTGCGCTCCACACCCCATCTCCACAGTCACCCTCTCTTTCAGGCTAGGACCCCACACTGTGGCTCGGTCACTGGCTGGCAAGGGTTGAGCGGGAGCTGAAACCTGAGTGGGCGCTGCACCACACGGCCTCTAAGATGAACGGCCAAGTCCTGGCAGGCAAGTCACATCCCCTGGACATCCCCGATGTGGGGCTTGGCCGGGGTCAGCGTTAGCTAAAAGGTCATGACCTGCAGAGCTGACGAAGCAGTCTTGGCTGGTCACAGACGGAGGAGCCGTCGTCAGCATCACAACCAGCCCCAACAAACTGCACTCAGGATGGACCACTGACCTGCCCATGGTGTGTCCCCACCTGCACTGTCAGAGAGTAGGAAGGGGAGGCCATGTCCTACCTCTCGGTGAGTGCTGGCTGGCAGGACGGGAATGGTCTCATCCACAGTGGCCAGTAACGTCCTCAGGGCCAAGCCGACTTCCTAACAGACGAGATCACACCCAGGATTAGAACACACACGAAGGAGTCTCATGCCAGCATTGACAATTTTCAGTTATATGACTTTTTCATTTTCTTTTGACCACTTTATGGAACATTTCTATATTTCTTTTCCTCAGTGCTGAGCCCGATCTTGTAAGTTATGAGGCCATTCTTCTCCAAAGGCTCAGGTCTGAATACTCATGGTTCCGCTCCCTGAGGAGTAGGGTGAAGGACAGACACATGGACGCCTGGGAAAGCAGGACTCTAGCCGGAGCCTGCGCTCTCTCCTCATCCAGCGCTTCCACGTTGACCATCCCGCCCATGCGGGGAACCCACACGGGGAAGGGGGACAGCAGCGAGCTGGATCTGATGGCACCTTTCCTCAACGTGCTCACGGAATCCCCTCTCCCAGGGTCTTTCAAAGCCTCATGAGGCCAGCAAAAAGGACGTCCCCGCTGCCACTCTGAGCACAATGCCCCACCCCTGCCCCTCTGGGCTTAAAGGGACCAACTCTGACTAAAAGCAGTATGATTTAGAGTTCACATTTTTGTCATTGTCATTCTTATGGAATGACTCAGACACTAAGTTATACACGCAGTATGAATAAAACCAGTAAGAAAACAATGAAGTTATTAAACTTGGATCAACATACAAAAAGAGTGTCATTTGGCCAAAGTAACATGGTTAAAAAGTGGCTTCTAAAAAATCACCATGAAAAGTCTGTGTACAAAATTCTGACTGCTTCTGTATACTGGTGAGTTTTTTTCCTTTTTGTTTTTTTAAACTTGCCTGTGGTTCATGCACATTCACCCTGAAGAACTTTCATTATAATTCTTATGGGAGTATAGTTAAAAAAACAAACCAGAATGGATTAACTATGCTTTCCACAAAATACGACAACTTTCAAACAGCAACTCCACACTGATGGTTTCTAAGAAGCTGTTTGAGAGATTGCTAACAGCTACACTGAAAAGTGTGTTCAATCCTACAACTCAACTGCAAGAAAAGGCAAAGGACTTGAACAGACTTTCCCCAAGAAGACATACAAATGGCCAACAAGCAGTGAAAAGATGCTCGTCACCACTAATGATTAGGCAAATGCAAATCAAAACCACAATGAGATATACTGCACACCCATGAGGATGTCTACTATCAAAATACAAACAAGGGGCTGGCCCCGTGGCCGAGGGGTTAAGTTCGCGCGCTCCGCTGCAGGCGGCCTAGTGTTTCGTTGGTTCGAATCCTGGGCGCGGACATGGCACTGCTCATCAGACCACGCTGAGGCAGCGTCCCACATGCCACAACTAGAAGGACCCACAACGAAGAATACACAACTATGTACTGTGGGGCTTTGAGGAGAAAGAGGAAAAAAAAATAAAAAATCTTTAAAAAAACAAAACAAAACAAAAAATAAGTGTTGGTGAGAATTTGGAATCCTTGTACACTGTTGGTGGGAATGTAAAATGGTGCAGCCATTATGGAAAACAGTATGGTGTTTTCTCAAAAAATTAAAAATAAAATTAACATATGATCCAGCAATTCCACTTCTGAGTATGTACCCAAGAGAACTGAAAGCAGGGTCTCAAAGAGATATTTGTACACCCATGTTCACAGCAGCACTATTCATGACAACCGAAGGGTTGGGGGCAACTCAACTGTCCACTGACGGATGGATAAACAAAACATGGTATATCCATACAATGGAATATTACTCAGCCTTAAAAAGGCAAGAAATTCTGACGTATGCTACAACACAGATGAACCTTGAGGCCATTACGCCGAATGAGATAAATCAGGACAAATACAGCACGATGCCACTTATATGAGGCATCCAGAGCAGCCATATTCAGAGAGACTGAAAGCAGGATGGTAGGTGCCAGGGGCTGGGGGGAGGGCAAGGGTGTTGTTCAATGGGGACAGAGTTTCAGTTGTGCAAGACGAAAAGAGTTTTGGAGATCAGCTGTACAACAATGTGAATGTACTTAACACTGATGTGAACTTCATCCTTAAAAATGGTTAAGATGATAAATTTTATGTTATATGTATTTTACTACAATTAAAAAAAAGTGTGTTCTGGGGGCCGGCCCAGTGGTGTGGCAGTTAAGTTTGTACAATCTGCTTCGGCGACCAGGGGTTTGCCGATTCGGATCCTGGGTGCGGACATGGTACCGCTTGGCACGCCATGCTGTGGTAGGCGTCCCACATACAAAGTAGAGGAAGATGGACACGGATGTTAGCTCAGGGCTAATCTTCCTCAAAAAGAAAAAAAAAAAAAAAAAAGGTATCTTCCAGTCCATTTCGGAAATCCTGGCTCAGGGCACAAGTGAACAGCACTCTTTGAGCTGCAGGACACCTTTGGGCTCCTGAAACACAGTTGGTGCTGTTTAGCAGGAGGCATTGCCAGTATTTCCGTGAACCTAGCATCCTTTTTCACAGAGCTGTTGCTGTTACGATCTACAAGGACCACTATTCTCCACTGAACACGATTTGGAGAAAGTTAGTTTACTGGCATATTTTCATTTCTTTTTATCTTTATTAAAAAAAATTCAGTGAGCACCCATGTACCCACCCCCGGCTTAAGAAAGAAAATACAGATAAATCCCCACAAAGTGCCCTTCCATGACTGCCCCTTCCACAGGGCGCAGGGCCTGGACTGGGTAATCACACTCCCACGTCTGTCCCGGTGCTCTAACAACACAACTCTAGGTCCTTAGGTCTTACACATGACTGGCGTGCGTGTTCTTAAATTTGACATAAATGGCATCGTTCTCTAAGTATCTTTCGTAGCTTGCTTTTTTCACTCAAGAGTATACGTGTGAGCAATAACTATTAAAAGACTCTGTTGCTCTGGGGCTGGCCCCGTGGCCGAGTGGTTAAGTTCGCACGCTCCGCTGCAGGCGGCCCAGTGTTTTGTTGGTTCGAATCCTGGGCGCGGACATGGCACTGCTCATCAAACCACGCTGAGGCAGCGTCCCACATGCCACAACTAGAAGGACCCACAACAAAGAATATACAACTATGTACCAGGGGGCTTTGGGGAGAAAAAAGGAAAAAAATAAAATCTTAAAAAAAAAATTAAAAAAAAAGAAAAAAGACTCTGTTGCTCCAGGACATTGCCATCCTAGGGTCAAGGTCAGGAACAGAAATTCCTGTGACTATGGTTCTGACTTGACAGTCACCGCATGGTGGCTCCACACATACTTCTGAAGCATCAGGTCTGACTCCAAGGGCACCACAGGTTCCAGGGTAACAGGAACGTTTTCTGCATCTTACCTTCACCATGGGAACATACTCCTCTGGTGGGGCGGGCTGGATCTTACTGGACATCTCGATGACAGCTTTCACCAGGCCCGTCACGTTCTCGTACACCCTGTCATTGGAGCGGTCCAGGTTGGCGGTGGGAGGCGGGCTGATTTCCTGGGGTTGAAGCTGCCAACACAGAAGCTGGTTATCTTTCTATTCTCCAGTAGATGGCATCACTTCACTGCAACTAGGTCAGAAAGGGTCTTTAAAAGAGATCAAAGCAGATCATGTAATTGATTTTCTTGTCTGTATGGGGTATTGCTGAGGATGACAGTAAAGTAATTCACCCAAGTGCAGATAAAGGAGGCAATAATTTTTTCTAACTTTGAGCTCAGTTAAAGGAAATGAGATGGAATCATACATATTATACTAAAAGCCCCAGATTCTTTCACAGAAGTGATTCAATGTCCCCCCTCAAATCATTCACCAAAAGAGAAAGAATACATGTATTTTACATCTCTCCCAGAATTTTAGAGAAAGCTGGCTAAGAGGTCAAGTGTTTTACATTAAGACTCAGAATTTCCACTTAGTTTGAATTCTGCAGTAAAACCTGTCTGGCCCTGGGCCGGCCCCATGGCGTAGTGGTTAAGTCTGGTGTGCTCCACTTCAGCGGCCCGGGTTCATGGGTTTGGATTCCAGGTGTGGACCTACACCACCCATCAGCCATGCTGTGGCAGTGACCCACATACAAAATGGAGGAAGAGTGGCACAGATGTTAGCTCAGGGCCACTCTTCTTCAAGCAAAAAAAAAAAAAAAAAAAGAGGAAGATTGGCAACAGATGTTAGCTCAGAGCAAATCTTCCTCACCAAAAAGACCAAACAAACAAGAAAACAACTGTCTGGCCCAGCTTAGTTGCTTTCAAACCACCTAATGAAATGTGTTCTTTTTATGATTATCAACAGCTGATAAATACAAATACAAGTCTTCTTTAAGAGGACAACATCTGCTTGCAGGACAGTGCTAGAGCGAGAGCCTTGCGGGTGCCAGCAGGAGCCCAGCAGGTCATGTCCTGCGGGAGTGGCCTCAGCTCCCTGGGCAGTCATGACAGAGGAGGAATAAAGTAACATATCTAAAAGCACCCACCCCAGGGCCCAGGCACAGAGAGACATCAACAAACGTTATCCACGATAACCTGAGCACTGAAGGCTACCCAAGGGGCTCTGGGAAATTTAACAATTCAAACTGGCTACCCTAGGCACAAAGGGGACAGTATATGTATATTTTAAGAAAATTAAACTACAGTACGTAACAGCTGTTCATTCATGAATCTGCTGCCGGTGCTCAGTCTAAAACTCCAGGTGCCCATTTCTGAACCCTTGAGCTGACTCTGCCCACGAAGCCGGGAACCTGGGTACTCCAGCTCCGGCATGAGACAGAAGAGGACAGGAACAGCCTCATCCCTGCAAAGGTGTCCCCATCTCACTGTGCGGCACACAGAAGCACTGTCTTTGGTGACAAACCAAGCCAAAGCGCCCCCCTGCTTCCCGATTTTTGGGCCTGAGTCACATGCAGAGCGCTGGGTGTGGTCAAGAGCTGGACAGACACACAGACATGAAGTGCTTACCCTCCACGGCTATTGTCGAACAGAAGGTGAGGAAAAGTTAAAGAAATTTATCAGAGAAAGGGAAAAAAGAAAAACAATATTAATAAAGGCAGCAGACAAAACCCCCATAAAAACACATGAGCAGAACAAAAAGGAGTGAGTCTCTGCCCATCAGCTCTCAGGTTGCTGGTTATCAAAGCATAGCTGCTGGGCCATCTGTTCCGGGCCCCACCCAGTGCAGAGTCTGCCATGCACCATGCTTGTTTTCACGAAATAAATGAGGAAAACAACATGCAAAGCCTGGGCGTGACCATCTGGCAGGCATGCAAGAATCAAAAGAACAAGGGGTCTTCTAAAAGAAAGAAGGCAGATATATGCTCGTAATCACTGAAAACTGCCCACTGAACTCGGAGCGATTGAGGAGAAACCCCACAACCCTCCACCCGAGCCACGGACCCCAACATCTTTGGAAATAGGCCTCGTCATCTAGCCTCACCGTCATAATAAAGATTCCTGGCTTGGGGCTATGTTTAAAAACATTAGGAGCTTATTTTAAAAACAGAAACAAAACAAACTAAAACAACCCTTTTGAATCAATTCTTATAGTTAGGGTCCTTTACTTTCAAATTAAAAGTTTTATTTAATGTTTCTTCTCTATAGCTTAAACCAAAGCTCTCCCACCGTAACTTAACAGGCAGAGTCAACCGGGGGAAACGTGGATACTGTGTCCTTTCCTTAGATCATCTGAAAGTACACCCTCTGGCATTCAGTTTAGCAGAATCCTAACTTTCGAGGTCCAATCCTCCATAATGTGTTTTTCCTGGGCACTACAAAGAGGGAGGTCATTCGTCATGGCATGCATCCCAAGAGACAACATCCCTGTATTTTATCTCCTGCACTGACTGTCATGGTACAGTTCTCTGCCTGACGAGGCAGGATGCGCCAGTTCAAACTGGATCAGAGTAAAAGGCACGGGGCTTCCTGAGGGAGGAGCTGCACGCAGAGCTCCGGCAAGAGAACTGCAACAACTCTGCCTCCAAGAGGTGGAGCGCACTTCATTCTAACCTGTTTCAAGCTCCTATTCTTTCGTATTGATCCTTTGCCCAAATCTTGTCACAGAAGCACTGTCACAATGCTTCCAGGGACAATTCAGTGACACTCTCAAAGCAAAAGCCTAGTTTGGAGAGACATCTGTTATTGGTTTCCTATTTCTGGAGCTTGAAAACACGGGGACTCCTTGGCAGGCGGTTAGGATAAACCACTGCTCGTGGAGATGCAGCCAGCCACAGAGGCGGGTGGTCAAAGACAGCCAACTCAGAGCCAAGACGTAAGCCACCAAGGAAAACCTGAGACTGAGTGCTGGCTAAGCGTTATTTGGATGAATTACGTTAGTCATCCCTAGTTAAACAAAAGCATTTCTGTATTAACACAGTATTGTTCTTTTGGGCTGCACCTGATAACCTCTACCGAACAGATGGATAACAAAGAAATAGACATATACTTCATACTTAATAATTAAAAAACTCTACTTATATATTTCAAGTAAGCATACTATTTCTATTAAGATTTCTACTTTCTTTATACCCTATTTTGAGGGTATTTCCCAATTCTATTTATTAACATGTTATTCCAACTGTGAAGAATAAATAAATGTCAGAATTCTAAGATGGCAGCTGATGCGCTTCTAAAGCTGGTTTTTCACTGTAACGTAAGTCATTTTGAAAGTGTGCTCTTGCGGCCTCTGAAAACGAAAAAAGTTCATTAACCTAATTTCTCCCTCTTTCCTTTTTAAACGTATGTCCAGAAACCACATTAGGAAAGGCTGTGTCCTCCTTTGCTCCTCCCCAGGGAACACGGGTGCGGCTCTAGGAGAGCCGCTGGGAGGCATCCTGGGAAGGAGGCTGGTGAGGCGGGGAGCCCGCGACAAGCCCCAGGGCAGTGCTCCAGGACCAGCCCCCTGCCTTCCAGGAGCTGCGGACCCACCAGCGTGCACTCTGGGAGCTGACCCTCGGGCAGGGCCACCTCTGGCTCAGTAGTACCTGTGCTATGCCCCCCAGGGTGCAGGCTGGCCTCAGCCAGTGCCAGCCCATTCACTCCTTGGTCACCACCCTCTGGGCTGCAGGCTGACCCATGCCCCATGCCTGGAGATGACAGTTTCTCTTCCCTGGACTTCCCAAGATGGCAAAATACCTGCTTCTATGCAGGATCAGCCTGTCGGCTTTGGAGGAAGCTTGGAGCAGAAGCACACAACATGCACAGAGCCAGGCCTATGGCTAAATGCTGGCTCCGCTATGGGGAGGCTGTAACCTTGAACATGCCCTTCAACCTCCATGAACCTTGGCTCTCATGTGAAAAGTGTAAAAAATAACAGCCCCAATCCTGTGGGGCTGACACAAAGATTGAACAGACATGGTACAGGTTCTGCCACAGCACAGGGTTATTAGTGAAACAAAATTTCTCTTCACTGACACCAAAGTTCTCAGGTTCTAAGATGCCATCCACTGTAAGATGCATCTTTTTTTATGCACCACTAAGAAAGGAAAAAATGCTGCCAATTAAACCAACACATCACCCTGATCTTAGAGAGATTAAAACATGAATAAAAAGTGTATCAGAAGTGGGAAACAGGACATATTCTGGGAGGTAACTGACGTCTGACAGAAAGCAGACATCCCCCTCCGTAAGCAGGCACAATGGACAGGAGAACCTCTCTCGTTTGCTTCTCTCAGAGAGGAGAGCCCTTCCGAGGCATTCCAGTGAGCCCAGCACTCTGGGGGGCTTGCTGGGGACCCGAGGGCCCCACTTGCACCCGTCCGGGGCAGGCAGTGGGGCAGGGAGAAGCTTGTGGCTGTTGGTACCTGAGCCCGCGCTTCCCTCACCTGTGCGGAGGGCTGGCTCCTCACAGCGCCCTCAGCACACACTGCTTCCCAAACGCAGTGCTGGCCCTGGACGGAGAACGAGGGGAGCTTTCCACTAAGCCACAGTGACAAGCTTGGAGACAGTGAGCCCACAGAGGGTCTCACCCACCCCAGGCATCCTGATCTAATTTTTAAAACCAGAAGTCATGCCAGCACTTTATCCCAAAGAAACATTCTGCTTGAAAAGAGGAAGACGTATTTAGAAAGCTGGGATCTGACTGAGGCCTAGAATGGATCACATGAGAGAAAAACGGAAAAGAAAAGTTTTCCTGTAAAGCTTGTTCCTGACTCAAGAGTGGTCAGAACCAGCCCAAACTGACTCCTGGAGCCCCCGCAACCCCACCCTACAGAGTCCTGTCTGCAGCTCTGGCTCCACTTCACGCCACAGGGTCATCAACTGAGCACGAAAGGACTCCACAGAGCCTTGAGCAGAGCCCGGGCTCGGATGCCCACCTTGACACCCTCGTTGTAACTGTCCCCGGGGCTGCTGAGACTGGCGAGGCTGCCCAGGTGACCGGGGGCTCCGGGGCGCGGTGGTTTCTTTGGCGGAGCCGCAGGATCTGGTAAAAGGGAATGAAGCCTATTAAGTAATGTAGGTTAACGAGGAGAACGTAACAACTCCCAAACAAACGACGACAAACTCAGATTCCTGTTATTCTAACAGACGCATTTCTGAAGCATCACAGCAATACGTTCTATCTTACAATACTCTAGCCATGGGCTGAATTTGGTAAACATCATACTTACTATGGTCAGCAGAGGGAAAAGAGTTAAAAAATCATGAGGTATTCCAAAGCTAAGAAACCATATACATTAAAGACCCACTCCCTCCAAATTATACTAACTTCTTGAAACACAATTCGTTTCTTCATTTACCTGGTTTACCCACAGGCTGATAAATGTGTTGGTTTCCAGTCTGTGGGAAAAGAAAAGTTTGGTCAATGAACCGGTGGGCACAACACGGTAATGACCTTCCCTCCCCTAACCCCCTCCATCCATCCCCTTGAACATCTGTGCTAAGCGCTGGGTTCAGAGACTGACAAGACCTGTGGGGCGGCTGCCTTCAAGGCCTCAGTTGAGGGTGGGGTAATTAAGCAAATAAGTAAATAATGTCAACAGGGCATGGGATCAGGGCTGTGACAGATGAAGCAGGGGCTCCCAAGGGAGCACGAACAGGGGTAATCACAACCAATTTAAAAGTTTCTTCAAAAAAAGTACATCCATGGATGTCTCCAGTTCACCTTTCAGGAGTGTGCAATGCAGGCACTCCCAGCGTCTGGGTCCTTTGCTCAGGAAGCTCCCTCCCACTCTTACTATATGACGGGTGCAATCAGGAACCATGATGATGAGGAGAGACTTCACAGGACTGACGTGTGCCTGTGCTGTCATGTCACCTGAAGCCCTGTGTGTGTCGGGACCTGGTATTACAGCTCCACCATGGACCAAACCACAGGCCATGCCAAGAAGACAAGCGGGAAGCCCTGGACTTCTGCCCCAGGGACAGAATGAAAAGACAGCTCCACTTAAGACCATCCTACTTCAGGCTGTCCTATCCGTAATCACATCTAAAACAACCTATCCTAGGCTGGCTAAATGAAAATATTGTTAGGACTACATTCTACCTCTGAAAACAGACTTTCCTTATTTAAAAATGATAAACTGGTTAAAAAAATACATATTTTAAGGTGCTTTACTTTCTCTGAAAAGAGATCCACTTCTTGCAAATACAAGGACTATGAAATGGCACAATTAAACTGCTCCTCTCCCAGAACCACCGTCGCTTTCAGCACATCACTTAACGCCCCTGATTTTCAAGACTTGCAAAGCCCTCGCAGCTGGACGGTGTGACTTTTGTGCAGCCCTTCCCAGTTTCCCCGTCGTCTATGTATCCGACAGTCACTGAGCACCTGCTCTGTCCCAGGCCCTGAGGAGACTCGTCCTTTAGGAGCTGACAGCGTAGAGGGAGAGCGATAACAAGCGTCACGCACGACAGCACGTTGTACAGCCGTCAGAGGGGCCACGTCCAATGAAAAAGAGATGGGAGTGGGCGTGGGAGGGGAGGAAATGGCAGTTCTCAGTGGTCGGGCCTTTTGAGAATGTGACCTTTAACCACAGGCCTGAGGTGAGGAGGCCAAGAGGTAGGGGCAGCCGAGTGCTGAGGAACGGAGTGGCCAGTGTGGCCCGAGAGGAGCAGGCGAGGGCAGAGAACAGAGCGAAACTCAGCCAAAGCTTTAAAACAGACCTGGTCTGTTGGCTGTGCCATGCTGTGCTTACTGATCCAGGCGGTAAAAGACACACATTTATAAAGGTTTAAAAATACAAAGAATTTTCTGGTTGACACTCGGGTAACGAGAAAGTTAAAAAGAAAATTCTACTCTCGGAACATTCTGGATTAATTCAACAGACGCACGCACACACTGTGCTGGCAGTTTCACAGGCCTGCTCTGGAAGGGCAGGCACAGAAAAGCCCCTGCTTCCGCAGGTCTGACGGGATGAGTGTGGGGAGCCAGGGTGTGCTCTGGTTCTCCGCGTATCCGGAGGCTGGCCTCGGAGGAGTCACTCAACTGTCTTGGGCTATGGTTTTCCCATTTGTGGACTGAGGCCAGTATCGCTTACCTACCATGGGCTTTTGTCACGAAATGAACATGCTGTCAACTTGTATATTACTTTGAAAATCCAAATAGTTTTTACTTTTTATGCAAACTGAGAGGATCAGTTTCCTCCAGCCAGTTGTTATGTGCATTAACTAGCTCATACCTCTTTACAAGCTACACTGCTTTCCAGCCAAGGGGTCCACCCTGAAACCACAGTGCATTTTCAAAAGGGTTAAGTGGGAGTGCTTCAAGTGGGCCAAACCAAAGAGTTATCTTTAGCCAAGAACAGAAGAGAAGAAACCAGAAACGGTCATGGTGTGTTATCAGCTCCCAGGAAGGAAGTCACCACAACCTAAACTACACACCTCAAATCGAGGAAGGCTGCTGAGCCAGGTTGGCCGTTTGTTGACACGTTTGTGAGTGTGCCATCTGGGATCCGGCACTGTGACAGGTGACGTCAGGGAGTTTTCTACGGGCTTCGGTTTACTCATTGGTGGAGTATGGATGGCAATAGCACCTGACTTGACAGGAGTGCTGAGGACTCAGTGACGTGAATGAGAAAAGCACTCAGCATAGTACCTTACAGTATTAAGCACCTTCTCCGTCAGTACTAAGCACTCTGACGCCTAGGCCTGGTCTGCAGCAAATGCCATGAGGTCACAAGTGGACCTGTCACATGATGTCTGTATTACAAGGCAATTCTGAATAACCTCTCTATCCAGGTCTGATTCTTTCATTTATTCATTCCTTCCACGTATTTTCTGGGCACCTTCTATGTGCTGCAGAGTGGAACACACAGAATTTTCCTTTTCCAATAAATTTTCCTATTAGTAATGTTCTAAAAAGCTGGTCCCTTGAATAGTTTATTTTCATGCTGATTCGCACTCTCTCTTCTTAATTTACGACACAGTGCTCGTCGCATGCGAATCTCTTCAATATAGGGAAGGAGCTCTGTGTGCAGACATATTACACGGCAGATGACGTGAGTGTGTCCATGAACCAAGGAATCCTAACACTGTCTGCAGAGCCGGCTGCACCAGCCCATCCTGACGGGAAATGCCCAACCTTTACATGCTGGCGACTGAGCCCGTCTTCTAGGGCCCAGGTCTCAGGGCAGCTGGATTTTACAGAGCAGGACACAGAAAACTCCTGGTAGCGTCATTCCATACTAAGCATCCTGGAGCCAGATGACGACAATCTCATGTATATACGTACACATGTGTGTCTAGAAGTAAACTGATGGTTTATGTCCCCCCAGAAGCCTTATTAGGATGGAAATTTATCTCCGTAAGTCTGTCACCCAGCAGGCACAGATTTTCCTTCTTTACTGAGAACGTCTTTAAGTGTTTAAAGAAAGCTGCATTTATTTTAACCACACAACAGCTGATGGAAATCCTAACAAAACAATTTTAACTACTCTCCCCAAAAGACCAGGGAATATTTCTAGCAGGCTTTAAACGCATTTGGAATAAGCGTAAGATAGCTCTTTAAAGAGAATTTCAGGCATTTGCCCTCACAACGCCCAGAAGGAAAAAAATCTTGCTTGAACAACTAACTTTTCTGTGACTGTGGAAACTTTTATAACCATGCAATAAGAATAATAAAAATTCAGCAAATGACAATGTGTGCACATCAACAGTTAACGAGTACATATTTCTTTAGGGTGCAGAGTCTGGCTCACTACTGAAAACTGTTAGTGACGGGGCAGAAAACGTCCACATCTCAACAAGAATGCCGGGCTGGGTCCTGTATGTTCTAAGAATCTTGGCTAGAACGTTCACTGTTATTTATAGAATGGATTACTGTAATCCCTGTTAGAAATATTAGTAAGCTTGGATATCTTACGGCATAAAAATGGTGGTCCAAATGCTGGTGAAAACTCAGGCAGCTGCTTACCGGGCCCTGAAGACTTCCATCCTCCCTGTCAATGCTGCCTCGAGAGAGCCGCACGTCAGGTTTCTGGAGAAGGAAAACAAAACCCAACAGTTCATTCTTGGCTTGAAAATTACTGACATCCTCTGTATCACGTTCCTTCCTTTTATAACACAATTGTCCTCTGAATTAGAAGAGCTGAAAGTTCCCCGATTTCAAAAAGTTTCTCAAAATTAGTGATGACAAATCCAGGTCAACTGCCCCAGCAAAGCCCCTTTCTCTCCACAGGTGTGCACTAAGAGGGCCGGCACCCGTGCCACAGCCCCGCACAGCCCTGAAGACCTGCACGTCACCTTTCTTCCTAGCAGCAAAGCGAGTGTTCTTCTTAACTGAGAGAACCTCCACTCCAGTACGAAAAATAGTAGGCACCAATTCCTGCTTCCTGGCAGATTAAGGCTTCTATGTACTTGGCTGTCTTGCCAAAGCAGCCAATGGTCCAATTACAAGTCTCCCCTCCACAATGCATCCAGAATACAGAAACCAAACAAAATCAGAATCTAATATAAATGACAGTATGCAAACTTCAGTAATTCCAGGACAAAGCAGACTACATGCCATCAGGGTGCAGCGTCTGGTGGGAGGTTTTCTCATGAAAACAACCCTATGCGGTGGCCCCCAGCCTGCCCCACGACGCCACGCTCCAGCAGCACCGGATTCGGGTAGCCCCAGGCAGCTACACTGACTCCTGCCTCCCCTGTGCCCACACCTACTGGCCACACCCCTCCGCTCCCGGCAGAAGCGCTGTCTCGGCATCTTCGCCAGCCCACCGTGTCCTACAGAGCTTCTCTGCCTGGCAGGAATCACGCAGTCGCTACTTCCCTCACTAGACAAGGAGCATCTTGACGTCTATTTGTCTCTGTACTTTCTACACCTGACAAGGGCCTGGCACTGAGAACACAACTCACAAGCACTTGTTGGGGTGGGGGGTGATGGAGAAAGGAGCTTTGTCTCTTTCTTCTTTTAAGTAATGTTCACAAAAATGAGGCCATGTCATCGAATTTCGTAATCGCCACGTGACATTATAAAAAGGAAACCGGTAAAAACAATATTCAAAGGCTGCACAACATTTCACAGCACAAATGTCCTAAACAGGAAATGGTGGTGGGGAGACGGGCTCTGGTGCCAGGCCGCCTGGCTTCAGATCAGCCTCCACCCCTTTTGAGCTGTGTGACCTGGGTCTCAATTTCTTCATCTCTAAAATGGGGCAGTAATAGTACCCACTGCACAGTCTTGTTAGGAGGACTAAGTGAATTAATACTGGCAAAGCAGTAAGTCAGTGCCACGTAAGTGTCAAATCAAATGAACAGTTCTCCCACTGTTTGTTGAGCATTTGGGCCATTGTCAAAATTTCAATAGTACGAATAAGCTGTGGGTGAATACCTGTGTCTACAAATCTCTGACCAAACTCCTGACTGCTTCCCTGGCAGATCTCTAAGAACAGAATGATTGAGGCAGAGGGTTCAAGCGTTTGAAGAACTCTGGGCGCAAGGTGCCACCCTGCTTACAGCTGTCCCAGTCTCACCCGCGTCCGTGGGTGTGGGTCTCTCTCACTGCGCCCTAGTGCCGCAGTACCGTCCCTGGACACTCCCAGCCAATTCAGTAAACAAGTACCCCATGTCGTCGTAACGCGCCCTTCCGCCTTGCCTAAATGGGAGAGCCTGTCTGTCTCTTCTCCCTATGAGCACAGAGGCTGTGGCTGACTGCTTGCCCACGGCAGCCCGTTGCCTTGTAGAACGCAGAGCAAACAGGCGAGGAGGGGAGTGCCGCATGCCTCCCTGTGGCCTGACTGCCCATGCCCCTTCCGACTCACTCTCCAAACCCATGTCCTCACCCGTGAAATGGGAGGAATAACCCGCCCCTCTGACGGTTACTAGAAGGATCAAATGGGCAGCGTCGTGTGCACATACAGACGTCTCTAAGTATCACTAGAGAAACGCTTTGATGCAAACGCAGGCAGGGCAGGTGTTGTGCGGTGAGGAGCCTGCAGCTGGAAAGGCAGGGTTAGTTGTCTGAGGCGACACGAGGTGGGCTCAACCAGGCCACACATACTTAGCAGATACCTTCTATGTGCAGGAAATATTTTATTTACTTTTTACTGAAATAAAAGCAACTTCTATTTATTGTTTGCTGCTCGAGTAAGGTGCTGTTTCCCATCTTTACATGACTTATCTATTTTCATTTCCATATAAATCATATGAAAGGACTTATTTTTCTTTATGCACAGTAATCCCCTAATGTTGTATTTTCCCAACAACAGGATTTCAATTATAAGATGAGAAAGGCCGATCTACATAAAGTCCACTTGTGTTCCGTGAATGGATGTCTTTAAGCCTTTTCCTCCTATGGCGGACACAGACTGAGTGAAGACGAGAGCCAGGAGCGATCTAGCCAAAGACAGCCCATCAGAAAGGAGACATTCTACTCTAGTGCTTCTGCTACTGGGTGAAGCTGAATTCTCCTGTTTCCCCTTCACAGAATATTCCAGATCTGAAGACAGTAATAGCAAAGATAAAATGAAGCAGTTTACATTTAAAATATTACACAAACGGACCAGACATAAAGAATGTTTGGGAGTATTTCATTATTTCCCCCATTAGGCATGCACTTTCTTTTCTTTCTATTTAGATATAACATATATAATGAAGCGCACAAAGCTTAACTGTAAAGCTTTACCCATTTTTATCTATGTGTACACCCGCCTAACACACCGCCCAGATCAAGACACTGAGCGGATGATCCAGCACACCCCTGCACACCCCTGCCCGGCTGAGACCTGCCTCCAACTCGCCGAGGGGCCCACTCCCCCGACGTCCAGCCCAGAGATGACTGTTTCTGAACTTGCTATAAATGCACTGCACATAACACGCGTTCCTCTGGGTCCGGCGTCTTTGTGAACATCACGTTTGTAGATTCATCTCTGTAGTTGTGTGTGGTAGTTTGCTCATTTTTATTGTTGTACAGTATCCCACTGCATGAATATTTACCCACTCCGCTGTTAATGGGCAAGCAGGTTATTTGCAGTTCCTAGTACCACAAAGAAACGCTGCTTGAACAGCGTCTCACGCGTGAGCACGCACCCTGCTTCTCTCGGGCAGCGGATGAGGGCAGAAGGCAGTGCTCTAGGTTCCGGGGACACAAGAACCAACAGTTTGGCCCCGGTCTCTTCTCTCATGTTGCTACCACTCTGGAAACCTCCACACTTAAGGCTTTCAACTCCAAGTCCCTCCTCCTTGAACTATGCTAGATTGTCTTCAAATCTGGACTACGGCACAGGGAAGAAACGGAGGAGGCTGTGCCTGGCTTGGCAGCAGGAACAGGCCCAGAGCGGTCTTCCGAGGGGCTGTCTTTGCTCCCGCTCTTTGATTCCCCGTTTGGCATTCATCTTTCAGACTGACTGGGTCTGCTGTGAGAGGAAAAACAGCTCGAATATTTGTTGCCTTTCTCAGAACACAAAGTAGGCTTTGTATAGACAGGACTTTCTCATTTTAAAATTAAAATCCTATCTTTAGCACAGTACCACATCAGAAAATTACTGTGTGCAGTAATAAAAATAAGCAAGTAACAAAGCTACTGTCTTTAAGCAGCGCCTGATAGGAAAGAAGGTCCTCTAAATAGACGAGGTTCTAGCCAAGGCTCTGGCTCTCTGGCCAGTTTGCAAGAGACGTTCGACAGCAGCGGATTCGCAGGCACAGAGCTGACTCGGAAAGCACGTGAGCTGAACTGGGGGCAGAGGAGGGACTGGGAGACACTACAAAGAGCACATGCTGGAGGTCACGGCTGTGGAACCCTGGGCAAGAGCCTGCCACTGTAAAAACAGGTGCTGAGGGAGAGGCCCATATGAGGAGTTCACGACCCACAAAGTACTCAATAGAAGGTAGAAGCTATTATTAACAGCAGTCACCATTCACAATGATAGACGTCCTAAAAACAGAAGGTTTCAATAAACTGCTGCTGATTCCGATCTATCAGAAAAACCCTGGGAGACATTACTGACAGCAACTTCTGAGTTAACTTTTCAAATAACTCTTCTACCAGGGTGCACAAGCTGCTCCCAGCACAGTCTGAGGACCAGGGCAGGTCAGAAATGATTTGCTACCAGGTCATGATGAGACAGAAACAGAAGGCGAGCATCTTTAGACATTTCTAGAGCAATTAGAAATAGTAATTTTTGGGTCTATTAAAGTTCATAATAAAAAAGTTTGGCTTGAGCCAGTCCTGATGGCCTAGTAGTTAAAGTTTGGCGCTCTCAGTGCATTGGCGGCCAGGTTGGTTTCCCGGGCGCAGAACCACACTATCTGTCTGTCAGTGGCCATGCTGTGGTGGCAGCTCACACAGAAGAACTCAAAAGACTTGCAACTAGAATATACAACTATATACTGGGACTTTGGGGAGGGGAAGATTGGCAACACATGTTAGCTAAGAGCAAATCTTTTCCTGCAGGAAAAAAATAGTTTGGCTTACATTTTGTATATCTTTAAAAAATTTCCTTTTTCTAGTAACTGCTTTTTACTTTATTTTACAAAAGTATCAAGTCTACAATGGTTTAGAGAAAAACCAGAAATGGGCCCTTCCTCATTGCTGGCTTGAGAAGCCTGCATTTCCTACGCACAGATTCTGCATCCTAGGAGGAAAACACTGCATTCAGACACTACCCAGGGCCCTTGTCAGCTACCTGCTAAAAATAATCCACTTAAGGGAGCTTCAACAACAGCAAAAACAAATTCAGGTATATTTATAACAACAAAGAAATCCAATAAAAGGATGCTCAGCTCCTGAGTGATGCCTGCAATGTTCCTTTGCAGAACCCCTGTGAAAGCAGCTAACACCTCTCACTCCATCTATTAGACTAGTCTGTGGTCAGGAGTGGCCCGAAGGTATCCTGCGACTATCCATGGGAACTTTGTGTCGTGTGAGGCAAATGATCTAGCATTCTAGATTCTCACCAATGCAGCTCTCATGGCTGCTATGGAGGACAAACTGAGTAAGAGATAAAAGCCCTCTGAAAAATTAATGGTGTATTTCCTACT